TCAATTAACCGAAATTTAATACACCATACAAAACCAGTTTGAAACGCGTTAGAAACTTCAGGGTAAACCTAATTTCAATAGTAATGAGACGTGAGGGTAGCGTAACGGATAACGGTAAAGAAAAAGTGGAAATTCCGGAGGTCAAATTCCGAGCTCGTCTGTGGCATTCATTTTTTCACGAATAGTCTTATGAAAGGCATGAAGTCGTCTCTTCTTCCCATCTAGTTCGTGGTATATTTAGTTTGCTAATCTATGGTGGCATCCAATCTAGGCGAATGAATAATTTACTTCCAAAACAAGCTCAAAGTGTAACGTGCTTCGTCGTTTCCATCTTGCCTTAAACACGCCCAATGTGGCTACAGCTACATTATATGTGGTGCCTTCTCTTATCCTGATGAATTACGGAGCACATGATCGTGAATCTTCACCGCTTAAGTCAATGTAACGTTTTTTCTTTTTTTGATGTTAGACACAGCATGATAAGAGTATTTAATCTGTGAATACAAACAAAAACATACACGTGTCCATAGATGGATGTGTTTCTTTGTATAAGAAATCGCAGAAAGTGATGAAACATTTTCATTACGTCTATTGTTGAAAGCAAAAATATAACACCGTGAAGAGTTAGCCAGTAAATTAAAGCTTTTATTTGAATTTCATAAGTATTCCATTTTATGATTTCTTTTTACCACTCCAGCGTAGAAACTATTAATAAACCCGTACACGTAACAATTTACACTTCTAATTGACGTTTAAATCAAAATCCTGCCGTAGAGCAATGGTTACACGGTTTTAGTTTGAACGTCATTGTATTCCTCATTGTTGTAATCATGTGTAAGTCTAAAATAATGTTATGAATAGCGTAACAGCGGTAAAGTGATGGCTAACGAGTTAAGCGTCAGCCCTGAGTGACCTTTTATGGTTGACACCTTTTTATACGGTTTATAAACCCTTTGCAGATTCTTTAAAGCCAGAAAACTTTTTTTTAGATTGTAAGGAGTTTTTTTTTAGATAATAATGATTTAGTGATACAAGTTATTAACTAATTAACCCATAGCCGGGAAAAGAAGACGTGGATTCATACCGCTTCCAAGGGTTTTTGCGCATAAATCAATATAACGAACTCAACATGAATTGGAACTAGGTTGTTCGATTAACAATTCCGAAGCATTCTCCAATACAAAACCTCACATCCAAGGTTACAGCACCTGTTCCATAATCTTTTAATGAAGTAGAACGATGGATTGTGATTAAAGAGACAATTCCTTCTTTTATTTATTTATAAAGTACTCACTAAATCTAGATGAGTTACAAAGTGAACAGATTTCATCAGAAATTTCGATAAATCATCACGGCATTGTGCTGAACACATTTATGAATGTGTCAGGATCGAAAAAATCTCACTTAGATCCGATCTTGTTAAAAAACTTCCAAAATGTATTTGTGATACTGAGGACATGAGGTAGTTAAATGTTAATTCTGAGCTGAAAAGGGTTAAGCCCAAAATGGAATATAGGCTGGAAGAAAGAGTCACTGGAGATATTTTTCCTTGGTGGAAATGGGACAGTTTGGATTTCTTCGAGACTCTGGCATGCGAACGAAAACAGATTTGGAGAACAATTTTATCTCTTCTTTGAGAATTTAAGCAAACAAATGTATTTTAGTCGACAAAAACGAATTGACAAATGAAAAGAAGGCAACGGATCCAGTTGAGGTTATGAAAATCGAGCCTGTTGAGACAAGCAGGTGATCTGGTTTGTGTTTTCGCTAAAGACAGCGATCAGTCCACGGCTGAAGAACAATTTTATGTCTTCTTTGAGAATTTAGGCAAACAAATATATTTTCATTGACAAAAACTAATTGAGAAATAATTTTACCTCTCGCTCGGAAGGTTGAACAAGAACGAATTTCTCTTAACGGGCCGGATGTACGATTAAGGCAGGAGTTATGAAAACAAGTTCTGTCATCGGTGCTCTGGTTTCTATTTTCGCTAGACAAAGATAATTGCAGGAATACAGAAAAACATCATTGAATTAAAATTTATGTAAAACTCTGCCCTTCCGCTTACGCTCTTTAAAAAATAAATTTGTCACAAAGACAGTTATGCATGCCCTGGGAAGTTGAATGCAAATAGGAAGAAGAAGAATTTGGCACCGCCTTTCTGGAGAGGTTGGAGGAGATGTGAAGTGAAGCAGGTGGGAGTTAGTGGAGGAGCAATCCCTGTAACTATTCTTAGATGGTAGATAATTCTCCAAGTTTGGAAAGTTGATTAAGAAAGCAGAAATATGGAACACAGAGCCCTTATTAGAATTAATGTGAAAAATTAAAGAATCAACGAATACTAAGAACTCTTCGGCTCCACGCCAGTTTTGTTCCGAAGTGCAGATAGGCAGACGGCTTTGGAAGCTCGAAAATCGAGAAATCCCGTATCGAGTGCCTCTGGAATCCACGTCAGCTGACACCAGATTTTCTGATTTCGAAAAACTTTGGACTCAAATTATTAGGCGAGAAATAGTGTCACTATAGAGATTGACGCTGGAAGGGTAATGTTTGTACCAAGAGCTATATAAATCAAATGAAGATTAACACCATAAATATTTCGTTATATTTTTTCGACGTGAAGATATTCCTTCCTTAATATAGCACCCACCACGGCTTGAACCAGCGCTGCGATTACTTCGAGAATCAATCTTCCACTTTCCTGGCATTAAGAACACAAATTGGGCATAGTTGTTGTGGGGAGAAGCGGCCAGCGACCAACAACCAGCCTGGACCAGTATTAGCATTGTCCAGTACAGAATTGACCCTGTCGTCGTCCTAAGCCTCTGAGGAGCGGACCAATAAACATGGTTACACCACGTGGTGTAGGCGGCAGCAGAAGGTGTTATATTTTGTCTGAATAACAGATGCAATGATTTTTTTGTTTGGAAAAGAACCAACATTTGAAGACACCTTGTAACAATGTCAGTTGGCAATCACATGCTTTACGCAAAAGAATCCATCCTGAAATTTTGCCAAAAAAGAATTAAACTAATTCTCCAGTAGCGTGTCACCGGGAGTGAGCTGCTTCCATATCTTGCAGAGTTACCTCATATAGAGCTTTAGAAAATACTAAATTTTCAGTTCGCCATGAATTTTGCCTGTGTTTGATTTCCTTTCGGCTTCTTTTCTAGTTTTGTCATTCATCCGATATTTCGTCTAGGTTTGCTTTCGAATTCTGCTTTGCTTCCTGCTTCGTTTTTCTGTTTAACCACCCGGCACGTTATTTTCTTGCGTTTTGTTTCCAAATTTGAGGAAATAATATTCTGAATACATTCCAAAATGAAAACAACGTACTTGCCAAAAGATAAAACAAATGTGAAGCAATGAAACATATTGAAAGGACATGAAAGACTAACTAATGCTAAATTCTAGTTGGAACAATAAAGATGTGATATTATTTCTTAAGATACCAACAAGTCACAAAATTTACAAACCTGAATGTGATTTTAGACTCTTTTGTCTGTAAAATTGAAGAAATCATGAAAAAATTCGTATGATGAAAAAATTAGGAACAAATTAGAAAAATGACGATTTGATGTTTATTAAGAAACCAATATGAAGCAGGATTGTAAAATCTGAGGCAACATTAGAATCTTTTATTAGAACAAATGTAGAAAGTAGGAAAATGTTTATTTTTATTAATTATAAATTCTTACATCTTGTACAGCATTGGACATATTTTCTTTATATTATACAGTGATACAGCATCTTTTAGCTAGAAAATCTGAAACTAATACATGTAAATTTAATTTTATCTTTAGTGAATTACTGCATTTGTTTAATAAAAGGTTATTAAAATACTTTATACGAATGAAACAATTTGTAATAATCCAAAAGAAATGTTTATATTTTAATTTAACGATTATTTTTAAATAGATTCATTTCAGCTTTCTTATATTCATTTCATTTTTAAACTTTTAATTTTCTAATCTTTCTTTTATCGAAGTTTTAGTTTGTTCGTTTGTTTAGCGGCATATCAACTCCTCATGGGTCATTTAATGCTGAAACTTAATTTTCTTGGGAGCATTAGCGATAGACAGCTATAAAATGATTTTTGCAATGAATCTAGTTTTATAGTTGAATTATTGATATCCTTATAAAAATTTTAACAATGTACAATGATTTTTAAAATATGAGTCTGACCAAAAAATGGAGAATGTGTTGACTGAGTCGCAGTCGGGCAGAGTCTCTGGTTGAATCTCTTGATTCCTCCCTCTCTTCCCGGTACCAACTTTATATGGTCAGTACTCCACTATTCAAATTAGGTGGATCCTACCACAACAAAAAGCAATGTAATTTTATACACGATGATAGATACATATAAATGTCCTCTTATAATACATCCATATGTACACATACTTGGGACACGTGAATGCATAGCAAAAGAATTGAATTCTTAATATATTCGTAAATATTTAAAGAGAAATAATGGTAGCAGTTACGGCACCAATAGTGCATTATTCTATTGAGATATAGAAATAAACTCAGGTTCTGTGCCCAGATCTATGGAAAGCTCAGCAAATGCAGAACTAAGCAAGCTTGGCTGTTTTCCTAATGTTTCCTAATTTGCTAAACGATATTTTCTAGTATACAAATAAACTGCGTAGATCGTATATGAAGAAGGAGTCTGAGATAGGCGCTTAAATAAACTTTTTATTAGCATTTTACGCGCGGACTACGTTCATTCGTGTCCTAAATAAGTGTCAAATTGTAGAAAGATCGATTTTGGTCAAGTAGTTCACGAATTAAAATTGGTGCAATAGAAATTCTTTGGAAATCATCCGCATCATGGAAGCAAGACGTGCCAACCCTTTATTTATTTATCTGTTTGTTTATTGTCATTTTGAAAATAATCATTTTACTTTCTGTTAAGCACATTTAGATCGTGATAATGAAAAGAAAGAGTTCTGGTTTATTAATAATTAAAAAAAATCGTTAGTTATACCCGTGAAAATTTCATGGTTTTTATCTTTGAACTTTCTTTCTTTCTTTCTTTCTTTCTTTCTTTCTTTCTTTCTTTCTTTTTCTTCGCTGAAACCAAGTAGCGTCTCCGATATCTCTTTCATCTTTCTCCGCGATAAAAACGGAATAGTTCATTAATCATGAGGTATTGGCAGCTCGCAACTGCCGTTCTAACTAAAGGAAGGACACTCAGAAATATAAGATATTTGTCTTTGTTTATATATATATATATATATATATATATATATATATATATTATATATAGTAGTAAATCCTATAAGTATAAGAAATTATACTCGTTCGGAAAACCTTCAGTGTTTTGGCTTGCAAATAATCAAACCAATACCAAAGGGAAAAAAAGGTATATAAAAAGAAAGAACCAAGAACATGTACGTTAGCCGAAAATAATCGTCTAGCATGTAAGTCCAAAGCCCAAAGAAAAAACTCTGATACGAGTGGGCGAAATAACTAAATATAGTGCTCAATACTAGTAGAGCAGACCTAGTTAAACCTAGAGGTTAGACAAACCTACCAAGGTTTCACCTAAGCGGATCGTCAGGGAAGCCGGCATTCCCTGATGATCCGCTTAGGTGAAACCTATTAGGTTTGTCTGGCTCTAGGTATATATATATATATATATATATATATATATATATATATATATATATATATATATATACACACTGTGTGCAAAATTATTATCGAGATAACTTTTTTTCTAATATTTCAAAACCGCCCAATCAATTCACACAAAATTTTCATACAATATTGGTAACACTGACCTGAGCAATCACTGAAAGTATTGTACTAATCTGCGCAATGTAAACAAACTGGCGCCATATTTGTTATCAGCACGGTGATTTGAGCGTGCCAAATTATTAGAAAAGTGTAAGAATTTAGTGAAAAGATGGGCCGTAAAAGCAGTTTAAGTGATGCTGAAAAGAAAACTATCACCTCAGAACTCTCAAAAGATAAATATACCCTAGAAATTTCTAAAATGATAGGGAGGTGTCATAAAAAAAAAAGTTCACCGCCGACCCTACACAAATACGCAAAAGGGCAGATAAAGGCAAGCCGAGGGTTATTTCACGTCGTCTCATGTCACGACTTAAACGAGAGACCACGAAGGACCCTGGACTTACCAGTCAAGAGCTTTTCAGTCGCATTGGAGATCCTACTGTGTCTAAAAGTACTCGGTACTCGGTGTCGGTATCTGAGGGAAATAGCAACAACAGTCAAACCTGTATCGAAGCCTCCGTTGACGAGAAATCATATTCAAAATCGATTGAAATGGGCCGAGGACAATATGAAGATTGACATCTCTAAAGTTTTGTCCACAGACGAAACTCGAGCAACACTTGATGAGCCAGATAGATGGTGCAAAGGCTGGGTAAGGAACAGACAGAATCGCCATCAGTGTTTGAGACGCCAACAAGGCGGTGGAGGCATAATGATCTGGGGTGGTATTATTGGGAAAACATTAGTGGTCCCATGGAGAGTACCAGATGGCGTCAAAATGACTGCTGATGCATACAAAGCGTTTATGAAGGAGCATCTTGAACCGTGGATGAAAAGGCAAAGACTTACCTTCAGAAGGGCCATTAGTTTTATGCAACATAATGCTCCCTCAAATGCTGCTCATAAAACTACTGAATATTTGAAACAGTTAGGCTTCGATGGACCTCGAAAAATGAAGTGGCCAGAAAATTCTCCGGATTTGAACCCAATCGAAAACCTTTGGAGCATCATGAAGCGAAGACTGTACGCCAACGGACGACACTTCAGGAGCAACGCTGAGTTATGGGAAGCAATTCTTGACATATCTCGCGGCATTACAGCAGATGACATCCTACAATTAACAAATTCTATGGATCTTAGACTTCTTCAAGTAATTTCAAAACAGGGAAAGCACATTCATTATTAATTTGTTTATAACTGTGCCTTTGTTTGTATCTGTTATTATTTGTTTGATTATCTTATTTATTAGCTTCTTTTGACTATAAACATTCACGTGCAACATTAATTAACGTTTTGTTTGCTCAATTCTGGGAATTTTACTAAACCTTTATAATAATTTGGCACTCTCAAATCACCGTACTGATAACAAATATGGTGCCAGTTTGTTTACATTGCACAGATCAGTGATTGCGCAGGTCAGTGTTGCCAACGTTGTGTGAAAATTTCGTGTGAATTGATTGGACGGTTTTTGAAATATTAGAAAAAAAGTTATCTCGATAATAATTTTGCACACAGTGTATATATATATATATATATATATATATATATATATGATAAGTTATAGTTTGAAGATGTGCTATATTTATTGGGTATAAGTTCTGAAATATTATTGAGCCTTGTGTAAATATAAGAAGTGTGGGCATTGATGTTTACACCGTGGGACAATAAAGTGTTTTAAGCTTGAACGCAATCTTCAGGCCATCTATATATATAAATAAACTTTATAGATTGACCCATTTTATGTTGAAAGACAAACATAGAGAAAAGTGTACTCAACATCTAATGACAGTTATTTACATTATTTGGACTATTGTCCTCACCTTTGTCGCGATATTTATTACAACGTTTCAGCTGTTGTACGCTCTGGCCTTCTTCAGGTGGTTAGAACGTCGAACTGAACCCTTTATTTCGTTCACTGGGATAGACTGTTCTGGTTCCACGTGCCATGTTTCTAATGACTGATCCAGGATATTGTTTCTTATTATATTCCTGAGCCGTTGAATACTTTTAACGGACAGGAAGATTATTTTAACTTTTCGTGTGTCAGTTGCATGTTAGCTGAAAAGTACTTGAGATTGACACCTTATTAGGCATTTCTCTACTCAACGCAGTGTGTTTGATAAATAGACTGACTACCCGACATTTTACGTTTTGAACTCACTGTGGTTATATATAGCAGCGGTCGCAAATCTTTTATGCACCACGGACTAGGGGACGTGTCGCTGTAAGATTGACACTATAAACAAGACCGTGATAGTTAATAAAATCGGAAAAAAGTGTTTATTCGTTCTGTGCGCTCCAGTAGTAAATGATCTATGACCCGGTACTAAATGATTCACGGCCCGGTACTAAATGGTCCACGGCCCGGTACTAAATGGTCCACGGCCCGGTACTAAATGTTTCACGGCCCGGTACTAAATGGTCCATGACCCGGTACTAAATGTTTGACGGCCCGGTACTAAATGATCCACGGCCCGGTACCTGTTCACGGACTTTTATTTGGGGGTCGCTCGTATACAGTACTGACATAGCAGCGAGCAGTGTCGGAACCTGATTATTGCATGTGCATGGGACTCATATATATTACTTCAAGTGTTATTATAGCGGATACTTCCTATTCAAAATAGACGTATTCGAATAAAAGAGCGAAGAACAGTAAAGTGAGTTCGTGGATATTTTGCTTTTCAATTCATAGATAACATCGCCTATCACTAACACCAAATATTGTCTGTTACTCTTTCAGTATCTCCAAGAGGAAATTTTCTAATATGTAGTAGTTTGAAGCTACTTTTGCGCTGTAGGTGTGCTTTACTCACACCGATCATATATGCTTCGAAACAGATTCACGTCACTTTATTAGGCGATTTGTTCAAGACTGCATTAAGCTAGGCTTTCTTTTGTGATCAACAAAGTTGTCAGAATGTATAATCGACGGACATAATTCAGTTGGCAGGAAACATGGAAACCACAGACAGGGAACCGGTACGTAGAAATTAAACTGTTCTTTGAGAAGGAGAAATAAATAACCCTCGACTTGATTTGTTGCGACAAATCGGTGGGAATAGATTTCTTTGATGTTCTTTGAATAAGTAATCTAATAACTTTAAATAGTGGCGTGATATCAGTGTTGTTATTATTCGAAAATTTCGCGTGCAGTAAACGCACTGCTTTGTCAGTTACATGATCAGTTGATTGCAAAAATGGCTTCCCTATTATAGGCTTGGTGAATTTCGCCATGAGAGTCTGCTTTTTCGATCGTTATTATTGACAGATTATTTATTGCTGGGTTTTAGCGTGTTTGACCAGAAAATATTTTGATATATAGCAAACAAGAATAATTTGATGTATAGTAAATAAGAAAAACAAAGCAAAAAAACAAAAAACAAAAAAAAAACAAATACAAAAAAAATAACATTCAAATTGACGGAAGAAACTCGAAAAGATTCAGAGATGACCGTTGTTTTTAAATTAGTGATATTGTGTAGAAACCTTACCCGTGTTTACTGAATGTCATATAATATAATATATAATATTCCGCAGATACTTCTTGTGACCTATCTTGTGGGAAGAATGAAATACTTGCTATTTTCATATCATAAAAGCAACGATTCTCAGGCTAATGTGATGACCAATTTCAGATTATTGACTATATTACATTTAAATTAACACCTCGTGCTCTATATTTATAACAGTATACTCCGCTGAGCGAATCTTTTTAAAAAAAATTAATCGGTTCGCCTTGTAGCAATGCTTATTAAACTAGTTAAGCAGGTAATTACTACAGTAGTGATGTCGATTCTTAATAGACGCCTTGTACTTGTGACATTGCAAGACAAGCAGACCGTTAGGACCGAGGCAATTTGGAAAAAGCACTGCGTGCACCATATTTGTGGTTTTGCGCCAAAGAATTTAAGCTCAGTAAATATCAGCACATTGTGACAGGCATAGGTTGTGATGATGTATAAATCAAAACCAATATTATATATATATATATATATATATATATATATATACAAACTGTTTCGCTGTATCATAGCTCATGAATATGTTTAGACACCTGATTACTTCCATTACTTTAAGCAAAAATCAAAACTCGACCGATTTGACAAATGCCGGAAACTGTTTCCCCTTCTTTGCACACGGCAGATAAAGGGAATTTTGAACGCATTTTATACGTGATATATAAAAGTTGTATCGGCCGCCATAGCGCGCAATTCTTACGAGGAGCGATGCAATTAAAGCAACAGCCGTTAAGATTTTCCTTTTCTTCATAGTTCTCAATCGGCGAACGAGTGCATAGTCACACACACACACACACACACACACACACACACACACACACACATATATATATATATATATATATATATATATATATATATGTGTGTGTTGGTGTGTGTATATTTGGGCAGCAACCTTTTTTTTAAACATCTTTCGTTAAATATGGTAGACAAGAAGAATTAATCAGTTTTTTATCAAGTTTTTACAGTGCTCTTACGTTTGATGGGAGTAAGTGAGTTCAAAAAATTTCAGTAATGTCAATTGCTGAAAGCGCTTTCGGCCACTTCTTCAGCCATTTTCAAGGAGGTAGCGGCTCGGATTGAGGAATCGGAGAGCCGAGTTCGAACTTCAGTCGACTCCATTACATTCACTTATGTGCCTTGGAAAAGGTATGAATACTATTCTTCTCCCTCCCCCCAGCTATGTGTAAATAGACCGGGCTCTATAGCCTTGGATGGCAACCAAATGCAGGAAAAAATCTGCCTCGTCAGTCATGTGTCGGAAGATACATGATCACCTAAGCGTGTATCACGCATGGTACATAACTGACTGATTAGTTTCTCTTCATGATTTGACTGTTTAAGATGTATTTTATTTTTGTGTTGTTTTGAATACTTCTAGAAGTGTTTATTCAGAGCCTTAGCGTGTAGAGCGCGGCTGAAGTTCAAGTGATATACAGGGTGCAATGGGTAGATTGTCATCTAAATGAAGCAAAAATAAAAATAAAACTGACACCTCATTTTAACAGATATATTTACCAAAATTACAGAAAAAAAAGCATCTACAAATACTAAAGAGAAATTTATTCAATAATATCAATAATTTCCTGCATTTGTTCTGGACACTCTCCTTGTTTAAGTTGGAGAATGCTGCCGTAATCCTTACCAGTTTATCTTTGGTGTTAAAACGAGATTTGTTGGTCTCTCGCTCAACTGCGTCCCACACATATTAATAATAAGGGGTTGTACTCTGGCTAGTTAGGTAGCCAGATGTAAGGAGTTTTGTGGTCGCAGAAATTGTCTGACTGCCATAAATGGGTTCTCCTGTTTGTGTGGTATGGTGCAGAGTTTTGTTGCTAGACTTGACACAGGAAGCACTACCTGTTCAAGGCATTCGATGTCGGCCCCTGTGTTGAGTCGGAGGCTCCCAACAACAAATTCGGGTATTTTTATTTTCAGAACGATCAATGTGAATTTTTCGAACTGCCGTGCAGTCGTAATCACAATTAGATTCATCAAAGTCTTTCCGAATCCTATGCACTGTCTCCAAATTGACACCCAAACTCTTTCGTATTGGAGCTCCTGTCGGGAATGCCAATTAGTGTAGCATGCCGTGTCCAGATTTTTTGCAGAAGAAATTGCGTCATGGTGCTCTTTTTCTTACAGACGGTGCCTAAATGATTCTACTATACTGTGCAGACGACAAAATTAAAGCAAACAACACGCATGCGCGAAATTAAAAAGAGACAATTTACCCATCGCATCTGATATATATATATATATATATATATATATATATATATATATATATATATATATATATATATATATATGTTCCGTCATTTTTTATTATGTAACTCTATATATGATGAAACGAGAATCATCTCAAATATAGATATACACTGTTAGGACTTATTAATCAAACCTTTCCTTTTCTCTCTTAATAACTCTCTCTATATATCTTATTCAATCTATATGCGATAATGTGTGAATCGGTTGAAATGTATATTTAAAATGTTTGATTTTATTATGTAAGTCACTATTTTACAAATATCACTGATACTATCCAAGTGATGGATTGCTTGATAATTTTACGGCTTATCAATCTTTTGAAGGTCAAAGAAATATTTCTTACAGCCAGAAAACTTTTTGGCGTGTAAGAATTTTGGGAAGATATTAATAATGATTTACTGGTACATGTCCTACTATTTTTACCCACAGTTTGGGGAGCAGGGGTAAATTTATACTTTCGTTAAGGGTATTTGCCTGGAAGTGAATATAATGAGCCTGACTAGAAATGTAACTCGGCTCTCCGATTTCCAATTCCAAGCCATTATCTATTACAAATCTGCATCTTTAAGCTTACAGCACCTTGTATTCCCAGCTTTAAGGGTTCATGGGATTATAATTTATTTCCTTTGGATCGGGATTTTGGTCCTTAGGAAATAAATTATAATCCAATGAACCCTTAAAGCTGTCTGTCTTTGGACCGGGATTTTGGTCCTTAGGAAATAAATTATAATCCAATGAACCCTTAAAGCTGTCTGTCTTTGGACCGGGATTTTGGTCCTTAGGAAATAAATTATAATCCAATGAACCCTTAAAGCTGTCTGTCTTTGGACCGGGATTTTGGTCCTTAGGACATAAATTATAATCCCATGAACCCTTAAAGCTGTCTGTCTTTGGACCGGGATTTTGGTCCTTAGGAAATAAATTATAATCATATGAACACTATAATTAATATTTGCTCTGTTTTTATTTTGAGATTTCTGGATTGCATCCTCCTTTGGAATTATACGCACGGATTATCAAATAACTTATCTATCTATCTATCTATCTATCTATCTATCTATCTATCTATCTATCTATCTATCTCCGTATATTCATTATCTATCTATCTATCTATCTATCTATCTATCTATCTATCTATCTATCTATCTATCTATCTATCTATCTCCGTATATTCATTATCTATCTATCTATCTATCTATCTATCTATCTATCTATCTATCTATCTATCTATCTATCTATCTCAGCCTGTTCATTATCTATCTATCTATCTATCTATCTATCTATCTATCTATCTATCTATCTATCTATCCTGTTCAGTAAGTTTCGGCCCGAGGAGAAGATACCAGCTAGTAAACTCATTATTTTTAAACGCTATTTTATTCCGTTTGCCGGCCTGAATATTCGGAAAATCTTATTAAGGAAAAATGCACCCTAACCGTTGTTAGATCAGACGTATTTTAAGCAACTCACCTACGAAATGCATCGGGTCCATTTTACCTTTAAGCATATTTCACTCGTTCAGATTCTCCAAAGTTGATAACTGCTCAGTTTCGTATATGATACGTAAACAAAGCAGTTTCTAAAGTAATAATGGATTTTTATTTATTAATCCGACACATTTTTCTCATTTTAGGTATTAAATCTAGTGGATTCCCATATTTTACTAGACAATACGTTTATTTTAAAAATTTCGTTTACCGACGTAAATATTACAGAAATCTTAATAAAGAAGAATTGCGCCCTGCGATTGGATTCGATCGTACATACCCCTTGCAGGAGAAACCATCGTTAGATTAGACGTGATTTAATCGACTCAGCCACGAAGAGTTTTGCTAGTAAGCAAGACTGTATCCGAAATGTAAACAAAGCAATTTCTAAAGAATTAATAGATTTTTATTTATTAACCCGACATAATTTTAATGGTTTAAACGTCATTTTGCGGAAATACAGATATTTGAGTAAACGCTCCATTCACTATTGAAAGAGTATTTCCTCTACCGGCCTGAACATTCGAAACTACATATTAACGAAATAACAAATATATAAAGAAGATGAAAACAACAAAGAGAAAGATACCTGTGTGATCATTTCTCAGAATATGATAACATATCTTTCTGATTCAAAAGACAAGAAAAGCCACAAACGGAAATACTGAGATGAAAATAATAAAGAGAAAGAGATGAAAATTTCCTGGAATGATGATAATATTTTGAAACTTAAGATGATGCAGAAAGGCAAAAACTCGTAGATAGAAATATTGGGATCAAGTCAATGATGGTTAGTCAACCTCTCTGAATATTTCATGGAATAATAACAATATTTCTTTCCAGACTTCGTAATAACTTCAAAATGACAAGGTCATGATATCTGATCCATTGTTTGCTGTAATATGAATTCTCCTAACTCATATGACAAAAATGATCTCTAGAGCCCAACTGGTTCATACTGTTTATGATCGATTTCAATATTCATCATTTTGCCGAAGAATAATCGAACGCCTGGTTACTGATTTAATTTCTGATGCATCATTCCTCATTTGCATATCGTTCGATCATCTTTGTCTTGTGACGTACGACTTCTTCTCTCACGTCCACATATAAAGCCGAGGAATGAGTGAATGAGAGCGCCATTTTGTAGTAACTACCCTACACGATATATATTTCTTTAGAGTTCTTGTCGTTTAACTCTCCGGCCTTCCACAGGTGCATGTTGAATTCTTCAATCTTCATAGCGTTTTGAACAAATTCAGGTTCAGCAGGTTTATTTATTTATTTATTTACTAATGCTCATTCTATTCAAGTTTCAAGGGACTCTCAAGGTAGAGGCGGTTGTATAAGCGATAAGGTTAAGGGGTGAAGCCTGTACAGATATGTGGTAAAGATAATGATTGACCCCAAATTTGATGAGATCAAGATTGAAGGTTTGGAAAGCTTCCTTTTGGGATTTTGTTCCATAAAGCTACGTTTTTTTGGGAGTAAGCTATTTAAGTGAAACTTCCTCGTTACTAAACGAATACGAAGTACGTTTCGCCTCAATAAATATCGGGTCTTATCTGGGAAGGTTAAAATGGGAAAACTAAGTAATGTAGCTAATCAGAATAAGTTTATGGATTTAGCTATAGAGTAGTGAGAGGCTTGCAACATTTCGTTTGCTTGAAAGGTATTGTACGGTGGAAGGCAATTTATAAGTCTTGGCAGCTCTCAGCCTAGATATGGCAACAGTAATCCATTTTCGGCCCAACCTAGCTCTTCTAAAGGTAGAGTCAGATACTTACTGTCGTGGTACCTGGAACCGAACATTATTCTAGCATCTTTAGCGATGGATCGTATATAAGAATGCCACTTGAGATCTGAGTCGAGTTCAAGTTAGGTGTTCAAGGCAAGGGCTCTCCTTGAGAGAACACATGTTAACCGCGATAGACGAAAATTCATGGGCTGCTTGTTAATGATGGAAGTCTAGTTTTTGAGGTATTAAATGTGACCAGTTAGTTTTCCTCGAATGAGTTGATAAAGGTTGGTTGGAGGAGAGATCAGCTGCCAGGCTCTTGTTATCAAGATTCGAAGAGGTACGCCCATATATCGTTGTATCATCTGTAGAGATATTCATAAAGCAGGGAGAAGCGAGCATTGGAGGACGGTTATATTGATCTCAAGGGCCTAGGCGGACTGGCTATTGACAAATACATTCATGGTGCTACCAGATAGATAGGATTTGATAATTTCGAAAACTGTTACATTGATTCCTTAGCTGGAGAGCTTGTGTTCCATACCCCTATAACAAACTTTGTCAAAGCTTTCGACATATCTAATGCGATCGTCCTCACAATCTATTGTTTAAAACCGGTTCTATTAGTAATGACATGATGTTAACAGTGGAGATGTTCACTTCATTCGTAATATTTCATTTAAATATTAGCGGTTCAATTCAGTTATGGCAGTGTATGATGAAATTTGAATATATTTGATCTGAATATAGTTGGAAAATTTAATAGAATACTGAGCTCATATTTTTGCGACAATTCTTGGGATTTCTCATTTACTTCTTAGTATAAGGTATTTGATCCGTTTACCTGTCTTATTCTGTTCATATCTATCTATCTATCTATCTATCTATCTATCTATCTATTTACGAAGCTCAACTGGAAAGCTCATAGGTTGACCAAGATATGTAAGCAAGTAGACGCATCTGTTTGTAGACTAAAAGACATGAAAGTGAACCAGAATACAACAGATAGTCAGCCAGATTGCATTCTGATACACCTGAATGTATTTTAGTCTAAAAACCGATGTATTTACTTACATTTACATGGTGCGATGGATAAATAGTCGCCGTTTTATATTTTTTAATTTCGGGCATGCGCATTGTTTGTTTTTGATTTTATCGGCTGCACAGTATAGTAAGTTCGGTTGGACACCCTCTGTGAGAAAAAAGTGCACCATGACGCAATTTACTCCGCAAGAAATTTGGAAACTGCATGCTACATTTTTTGAAATTTGCCCAGAAATCTCCAATACGAACATTTTAGAGTGTTTGGGTGTCAATCCGAAGACAGTGCTGAGGATTCGGAAAGAGTTGGATTAGTCTAATGTTATTACGAACGTGTTTTGGAGTGATCGCTAGTGATGGTTATATTATGTCTACATTCATCTTCCGACGGGGCCTCAGACTTAACACGGGGGCCTATATTAAGATGCTTGAGGCAGTAGTTCGGCCCTGGGTCAAGAAGGTGGCTGCTAAAAGACACTAAGAACTCTGCATCAAGCCATACAAGCAGGAGAACACAGTCATGGTTGTCAGACAATTTCTGCCACCATATCATCCCTTACATCTTGCCACCTAACTCCCCATACTGTAACTCCCTTGATTATTACGTGTAGGGTGCATTTGAGCGAGAGACCAACAAAATTTCTTGTAGTACCAAAGATGAAGGCAATGATTACTGCAGAAATCCCTCAGAAGAGCTGCAGGAGATTCCAAAGTCGTCTGGAGGCCGTCGTTGAAGCGAATGACGATTTTATTGAACAAATTTACTCTTTATTATTTCAAGATATTTTTGTGTAATTTTGGTTATTACATCAGGTATTTGATCAAACTATGAACTTTCCAGCCCAACCTCGTATCTATCTATCTATCTATCTATCTATCTATCTATCTATCTATCTATCTATCTGGTTATCTTGCACGACTCTTCATGTTTTTCAGTCTCTTCAGAATTTCAAGAGCAGCTAAGATATGGCAGCACTATTTCGTCATAATAGATCTAGCAAAACAGGATTCCTAACCATTATATCACGTCGGAAAGCATCTTCAAAATTGTACAGAGAATTGAGGAAAACTTGGATCGATAGACGAGATATGCTTCTTGGGACTAGGAGAAGCACTGACTAATCTATCTATCTATCTATCTATCTATCTATCTATCTATCTATCTATATTTATTTATTTATTTATTACAGAAGGAGAAGAAGGCATTGCTATAATTCGTACTCTGTTATGTGTGGATGTATAAACGTATTGTTGGTCATATGAAATTTGATGTATTTTGTAGGTAAGAAAATAAGTGTTCTTGTTATTTTGCCTTATAAGATTTTCCATTAAAATTTGGGGACGTTTAGTAACAATACATTTCCAATAAAAGAAACACGCAAAGTAATAATTATATATGTTTCAACGTATCACGAAACTATATTAATAATTAATATAATTTCAAATCAGATCATTACCATTTTGCCGAGAACTGAGATGTCTCGAAGAATAAATTTTGTGTCACTTACAGCAGAGTTTCAGCATGAATACCAAAGTTGGCGTCATCAAGATAATGATTCAGACATATCTGTCAACATATTCAAATTGTCATGGGGAAAGGTGAACACCTGTGCCTTGCCTTCATGAAAATACAGCCAAAATAATCATGAACTGTTCTTTAAATAGAAAACTGTCTGAACAAAGTCTTGTTAATAAGTCAGCCATATATAGCAGCCAGACTCTCATGGTAATGGCAAACAGTGACATCTGTCGATTGTATTTATTCATTCCAGTCTAATCTTAATCAGGACATAAATAATTTGATCGGATGTGCATTTTGATGACTTGTTTTTTAAATGAGGACATGAATCTTTTACATTTAATTCAGAAAGAGTGCTTTTTTTATGGAAAAAAGAAGGTCGGCTTATTTCGGATATTGGAATATAAAATATTTAGACGGAAATAGAAGGACTATAAATTAAAATAGAAGGCGGGAAAATGCTATTGAGAAAACAAAGGTCTATGGAAATTGAGTAGGCGTAGGAATATGAAAAAAAGAAAAGGAAAAGATGAAAGAGGAATAGAAAAAAACGAAGAGAAGAAATGTCAAAGATATATGAACAAAATATGAACGAAAGAATAAAAGAATGTTTATTAATAATTTTAAGCGCAGTCGGAATGAAACAAAGACAAAGAAAAGGAAGAAGAGAAAGAAAAAGTAGAAGGAAAAAAAGAGAGTATAACGGAAAGAAGTAGTAGAAGAGAAAGAAGAAAAGAAAACGAACAAGAAGAAAACGAAGAAAAAGATGTAGAAGGGAAAAAGGAAGAAGAGAAAGAAGAGGAAGGAAAGAAAGGAGAGAAATAATAAGAAGAAATGGAAGAAGGTAAGGAAGAAGGAGAAAGAAAAAAGAGAGAATAACAGAAAAAAATAGAAGGGAAAGAAGAAAGGAAAGAAGAAGAAGAAAAAGAAGAAGAAGAAAAGAAGAAGAAGAAGAAGAAGAAGAAGAAGAAGAAGAAGAAGAAGAAGAAGAAGAAGAAGAAGAAGAAAAAGAAGAAAAGGGAGAAGACAGATGAAGAAGAAAAGAAAGAGGATTAAGAAGTAGGAGAAGAAAAGAAAAAAGGAAAAGAAAAAAGGAAAAGAAGAAAATTAAGGAAAAAGAGAACACAAGAGAAAGAAATAGTAGAAAGGAAAGGACAGAAGAACAAAAAGTAGACGAAGAAGAAAAGGAAAGAGAAAAGGAAGAAGAGAAAGGATAAAAAGAAGAAGAAGAACAACAAATACAAAATAAAGAATAAATTTAAAATGCAACGAGAGAAGAGAGACGCTGAGGAGTAAATAAAATAATATAATAAAACGAAGATAGTAAATACGACCATTATTTGTAATTGTTAGATAAAACAGTATTGATTTTGGTGACAATTTTATTATAATTATTTCCCTGTTCCTATTTTATATTTCTAGATATGTGTCCAAAATATGATCCGGAGATGCTAAAAATGAAATGCTACTTTATTGGCAAAACTTTTCATTGTATGTAGTCTAACCCTCCTTTCTGTGGGTGATCTACTGGAGATAGAAAGCATTGATGCTAACGAGATACGGTGCGTGAATCTTCCATTTTTTTCCCTAGATGTTTTAAAGGTGTTATTTTAGCTTTCATGCCCCACATTCTGCTGATCTCGATCTTCAGGTCTTTGTACTTGGATACTTTTTGAAGTTGTTTCTATTGACATTACCATGCCTTCACTTTTCTGACGTTTTTGATGATGTCGAACTTGTTACCTTTCGTCTCTCTGCCAGACTTGAGAAGATGCCTTGTTCTCGGTAACCGTGCTGGCCAGATATTCATACCACTTCATGCTGATTTTCCAATGCTCTTGAATATACTGGTATTCGTTAATCTGAGGAAATCTGAGATAATGTGGTCGACAATTGTCTCGCTATTTTTAAAGATCCTTTATTGAAGCCGTTCCATCTCCGGCGATGATTGGTTCTCTCATTTTCTTTCAGTACAGTAATTCTTAGCCATTGGTGTATTTATGTTTATACAGGCTTGAATCCTTTTTGAAATTTACCTTCAATTACCTTGTCCTCTCAGAGTTTCTACAGTCAATGCCGGTTAGAATTTTGTTGTCCTCTGTTTCATTCGTTTGGCGCAGATACCTCCAGTCTGTGGTTGACTGTGGGAGGAAATGCCTTGTAAACTTTAATGCCTCCAAAACGAAACTGCTCTCGTTTTACCCACCAAAGAGAACCCTCCCTGCCTCCCATCAGAATGGCTGATGCCCAACTCCATAAGAGCACCTCTCTGCGCCTGCTTGGTCTCACGCTGTCCACTGACATGAGATGAAATAAATACATTGAATCAATAGCTTCATCTACCGCAAGGAAAGTTGGTTCTCTGTGTCGTGCCAGAAAGTTTCTCTCGTCTGGGTCCATCCTTTAAATCTAGAAATCAGCCATTCGTCCTTGCATGGAATACTGCTGCCATAGGTGGTCTGGTGCACCCGGTGTTCATCTCGGGGTCCTCGACAAAATCTAGAGACGTGTATGCGATGCAATGAGTCATGATCTGGCATCTCGTCTACAGTCACTTTCTCACAGACGTGCTGTGACTTCCCCCTGTCTTTTCTACAAGTATTTTCACAGCAACTGCTGCGAAATACTACATTCACTCGTTCCCAAACTGCATGAATTTAAGCGTGCTACTAGGTCGGCATCTTTGTCCCAACCTTTCACTCTCAAAACGGTTAAATGTGACCGTCTCTTCTACCCCAACAGTTTCTTCTCGTCCGTGTATCTCCCTTCCTCTTACTTACGTTAATGATAGCTATAATCTTCAAATAATCAAATATAATGCCAATCAACATCTGCTGCCTTGATCGTGTTCTCCGTCAATCTTTTTGTCCTTTCCTCAATCGCGTCTCTTTACTCTTGCTTCCACTCTTCTGTAACCCCTTGCGTGCTAGTGGCACTCCCGCCTTACTTGGAATGAAATGCAAAAAAAAAAAAAAAAAAAAAAAAAAAAAAAAACGGTAGAGTTTCTGTTCGTGGAGATTCAGGGATATCAATAGATTTCTTGAAAAATATAACTTATTTCTTGATGGAGTCATTAGTTGTTCTATTATGCGGCCTGGATGAACTGTTATTGTGAGGAATTTTACCAGTCAAATAGTGATAGTTTTGAAGTTAGTTTCAAGCTAAAATCGACCTTGCATCCCTGAAGAACTTAGTAGATATAGCCTGTCGATATCTGTCTTCAGGTGAAACATATTCCCTTTAGTCAGCATCTTTCGCATTTTGGTATCCAATCGATAATGTTGAAATTGTATATAGCTCAGGCCATAGCAAGGTTATTGATAGCTTTAAATCTGATAGATAATTTGATTCCAATTTTAGGTACTATATCTAATTTCAGAAACACTCATTTATCAATAAGTTTTATTAGCCATCACCTCATATTATCAAATAAAGGGTGTTCCAATAACTTGAACCGATTTTAAATGTGAATTACGTTTAAGCGTCTAATGAACTTTTCCTTTTCTTTTCAGATTTAACAACTTAAGTTTTTGGCAATTTCAACCATGGAAACATTAAGAATCAAACAATGTGTTAAAGTTATCGAAGCCTATTACGGAAATGGACGTTCAAACTGAAATGAATTTCGCATACTTCGCGATTTTTGGGGTCAACATAATCAACCAACCGAGAGTGCACTTGGAAACGATGTAACGTTGTTGTAGAGAGGTTCAATTCTTGCGCGCGATGACGAATAGAGGTGCTTGGATTTTCGGCCTCATTCTCGTGCATTGCAGCAATGTTTTCAACTGAACGGCATAAACAAGCACTTAATGGTGTTTTCACATCTGCCACCGATACAGTTTGTTTGAATTTCCGAACAATTTTTCCAAATATTGTCTTGAAAGTTTAACATGTTGTTTGATTGTTAATCTTTCCATAGTTGGAATTGCCAAAGACTTAATTTGTTAAATCTGAAAGAAAAAGAAAAAAAATCATTGGACGCTTAAACTTAATTGACATTTAAAATCGGTCCAAGTTATTGGAAAACCCTTTACATGTTTGTTCCATCAGGGTGTAGTTCTTTGATCGGTGGTGTTGATATCAAGATATAGGTTTATAGTCTTAGATTTCCTTTCTTGGCTTTGGTATACATGTTAATTCCAAACACCATGTTAGTGTGATGGTTGAATCTCCTTTTCTCTCAGTTAACGGCCTCGATAAATGTTTTGATGCTGTCAATGTAGACCAATATCTGTCTATATATGAGATATTGTAACTATTTACACTATTTATATTGTTCAGACTTGTCCTCATTTTGGTGTCATATTCACGGCATTTTGGCCGTTGTACGGTCCGGTCTTCGTCAGGTGATTGTGGCAAAGTATTGTGATTGAGATATTAGCTTTATAAGTCCCTAACATTCGTACACTAATATCCCCAAGGACACATGGCCCATTGAATAAAAGCGTTTGTTGAAGTAATCCCATGGATTTGTGAGTTCAATAACTGTCCACAATAGAGGTGAACAAAACTTGGAGTGTTGAATTACTAAAGGGAAAGAACTGAAACTGGGATATCCGGAAGAGGCATGAACTAAAAAAAAAAAAAAAATCTACCCCTGTAAACGCAATAAACAGTTCGGTTAGAAATTCCAGTTACCTGAAGAAGGCGGGGCGTACAATGGCCGAAACGTCGTGAATCTGACAGCACAGATGAGTACCTTTTGTTGTTCAGCAGAGTGG